TATTCATCACAAGGATTAAAAACATCACAAAAGCTCCTGACAGAGCGTCTGTAACAGAAGAGATTGAGACAAGCAGAAAATCTACTTTTAAGGTGGCAGTCGCCTTTGAGGAATTTGCTCTTAATTACAGCAAGCTTCACCTGATTGGAGCGAGGTCCTCACAAGTGATCGACAGCAACAAAATGGGTGAGTCTGAACACAATATGGTCTAAGCCTTGATGATGTCGTAAATTTGAACGGATTACTGAATGGGAAGCGTTATTGCTGGATCAAATCGATCCATTCGGTCCTTCCATTGACTATTTACGTTTATCAATAATTATGGAAGTGGATCATAATATCCAGCGATATGAACTCTTCCTAATGTTAAGACCTATTTCTGTCGATAATTTTACAATTTTTAAAGGGTTTTACTTGTTGAGGGGTGAAGTATAAGAAAGCGTTCATACACTTATGATAAACAGACTGTATTTTCAGTCCAGTAAGAGTCGTGAAATGATTAATACCATCACCTCGTGTTTTCTTCGTTAGTGTTGGGTATTCAAAAAGCCTACCACCAAAATGCAAGTGACTTCCACCTCTGGGATCAAGAACTGCAAGCAGGCATATATGTTTTATCTGCAAATTTTGCGAAATCCGGTTGGTATCGAATGCAATGTTTAGTCCTCAATGTATTACTACAATTCTCTTTGCTTCCCTAACAAATTTACGCGGTAATGAAATACATCTGCACATTTACATAGTCTTCAGTTTGTTTGTTTGTGTGTTTGCATAGCCTATTTGATTTAGTTCGCTAGAGTTTGTTGGAAGACCATGTTTTAGCCTGAGTTTTGTTTTTTACTCTCTATTTCTTTAAAATTTATTTCTTTTTTTTTTGCAGTTTCACTGGTTGTTGGGATTGTGCATAAGGATCTCCACGAACTACTATACATGGATCAACCCATCAGGAATGACGCAGGCAAAGCCACAAGGTGATTTTTAACTTTAATTTTTTAATTTTAAACAGTGTCGGTGTCAAAGAAATCAGCTTTAAAGTAACACAATAAGAGCTCCTTGATTACCCAAAGGGTATCATATCGTCAAACATTTGCTAAAAATTGTGTGATTCAAAATATAAACAAAAATTATAATTTTCTTTTCTTTTTTTGTTAGGTATTTGAACTCCAGGATAATGGCCGTGGCTATGGATCCAAAACCAAACAAACTGGGAGCGAATGTCATATTAAAGTTCAGAAACCTGAGGGTAAGAACACGATCAAAATTCTTATCAATTGCGCTACATTGTGTTTATTTATTCTAAGGAGATAATACAAATTTTCAGGTTGATGGAAGAAAAAAGACTTGTGTGTTTTGGAGGGGCTTTAACAAAAGGTAACAAGCTGAAATATATTACTTACCTTGTTCTAGAAGTTATGTAAACCAGGCTTACGTAATCTTTGTTAACCACTATGATTTTTTTTCTTTGTGAAAGAAACACCAATCATCTCTTGCAGCAGGAAAAACCAAAAAAAATTTCAACAACATTCGAGTGGCAAAGCCCCCCACTTGATTATTATGCCGGCATGACTTTCCCTTAAGTTTTCAATTTCAACAACATTCGAGTGGAAAAGCCCCCCACTTGATTATTATGCCGGCATGACTTTCCCTTAAGTTTTCAATTATTCGTCACTGTCAATCTGATACTTCCTGTTTTGAAGCCATTTCTATCTGCATTTTATTCGTTTTCACTTGCGGTTGTCGCCTTTTTTCGCTTCTGCCATCGTCAATATACCTTTTCATCACATTGTAACAGTTAGAATATCAAAGCCGACTCTATGAGTAGCACATATCAATTACTGAATAAAATGGAAAGTGATCAACAAGGTCTCGAGGCTACGATTATAATGAGGAAGATAGCCAGTTGAATTTTAGGTAACAAAAGGTCGTCTTCAAAATTTTTGTTATAATATTGCTGTCACTGTTTTAATTTTGTTGAGTTATTTTTTTTTAACGTTGTCGTTACTTTTTCCAGCTCAGAAGGATTTTCAGGGACAGGATGCCATGTGGTTGCATCACAAAGCAACTCAGAAGAAACAGTGTGCAGCTGCAATCATTTGACTCATTTTGCTGTCTTACTGGACTACAACGGCAGCTCAGGGGTAATAGACTAATGTTTACCTTACCTTCACCAGTGGTAATACAATTCCTTTGAGGTGATTGACATATTTCTAATTCTTTTCATGCCATTTATGAAGCAGCTCACTGAGGAAGACGAAACTCTTCTGGAGATTATCACCTACGTGGGATTAAGCCTGTCAATCATGGGAATAATTTTGACAGTTATTCTATATTCTTTCCTTACGTAAGTGCTACAGCCAGAAATTTTAAAACTTTACATTATTTTAAAGATGTCAGACACAAGTAAGACCTCTTCGCGAAAAGACAGACACTCAGTCAATGCATATTAAAACAACTACCTGTTGGAACATAAAGTTACTTTCCTTTTTCTGTTCGGTTTTGTTTTTGTTTTAGTCTGCTTGTTTTTATTTGTTTGTTTCTCTAGAGATGTTCACCAGCCTCTGTCACAAATACGATTGAGTCTTTCTGTTGCCCTCGGAGCTGGACAATTTATTTTTCTCGTCGGGATAAACGCCACAGAAAACAAGGTGAGTGCCTTCTTCATCCATTGATGAATATTTGTTTAACGAGACTCAAGACGAGCATGAAGAAGTACACCAGATCTCTTTGAAAAGATGCATGAAAAGTAGTCAACTTTTTTTTTCTCTCTCCCAGGCTTCATGTATTACAGCTGCAGCTTTCATGCAATATTTCCTGATGGCTTCGTTCTGTTGGATGCTGGTGGAAGGATTTTACCTCTACCTCTTTGTGGTCAAAGTTTACAACATCACCGAAAAGATGCACATGTATCACCTCATGTCATGGGGTATTTTCATTTTACTTGTTTTGAATTGTTTGACTTCATGATCACCTGAATCGACTTGCATTGACATCCTACTTATGTTTAGGTTTACCCATCGTCATGGTCGGTATTTCATTATGCATCGCTGCTGGGAAAGATGGAATAGAAAGCTTTACCAGTGATAAATAGTAAGAGAATCCTTCGACATTAGTTCTTTTTTCTCCTTCTCCACATTTCCTGTCTCCCACATAAATGTATTTTTTTTAAGTACAACCCTTTTTGCACAATCTTGTGTTTTTAGTTCGTTTCATTTCGTGGATTTTTGTGTCCCTGTGTTTTTATCCAGGTTTTTTGTCTCTCTCTCTGTCTCTCGTTCTGTCTCCCTCCCTCCCTCTCGTCTCTTTCTCTGGGTTACTGGTTCAGAGGATTATTTGCAGCAAAAAACGTTTATCTTTTTTTCTCTCCGTTTCTCGTTTAAAGTTGCTGGCTATCCTACACAAACAACCTCATCTGGATATTCGCCGCATTTATGGCTTTTGTTGAAGTGGTGAGTCTACAATTAGTCAATCCCTCGCATTTTCCTTTTTCATGCCAAGACTAACCACCGGTGGAGATTGTCTCTCTCGTTCCCATGCTTATTACAAAACGAAAAGCATATTTCTGTTTTTGACTACCAGGCTCAAAGCTCACAACCTATCCAACTCCGTTTACGCTCACTATGTATTCAGCATTACTCGTCTTAGCAACAAGCACTCTGCCAACATTTGACATTCCTTGTTTGTTTCAGCTCAACATTTTGATACTCGTCCGAGTCATAAAAGAGATGACCACGCTAGTGCAACCTATGGGGGAAGACAATCATATTAAGCAGATACGGTTAGATTCAAAATTTGCTGTTAGTGAAATATTTTAATCGGTGGAGGGAAAAATTGCTGAAGCATCTAATTGTTAGATATTTACCTCAGCTCCACACTAGTTAACATTTAACACAGAGTCATCACTGCCTTAGGGTTAGGGCTACTGTTAAGTGTTTTTACCATCTCTAAATAATGCCTATTAAACAATGAGAAATTAAAGGAAACAATCGCCAAAATAATTCAAACGTTTTTTTAATGTTGTCGTTATTCCGGCAGACTTGGCTTTAAAACATGCGCGGTGATGATTCCACTGATGGGTATAACGTGGCTATTCGGTCTTTTGTCGCCATGGCACAAAGCTTTCGCCTACATTTTCACCATCTTTAACTCTACTCAGGTGAGTATTCGGTCTTTAGTCGTCATCACAAAAAGCTTTCGCCTGTATGTTCACCATCGTCAATTCTACTCAAGTGAGATTTTAATGAAAATGTCGGAAATCTGATCATCTGTTTGGAAACTTGAATGTCCAAACTACATTCCTACATTAGTCTGATGATATTTCCCGTTCAAAGGGAACCTAGTCGACAAGAGAGGATTTATTTCTTGGTTTTGAGATCTGCAACTTTCCTTAATTTACTGTTTTACCCTTTTTTTAAGACGATTTCAAGATATAGATTACATGATGTTTGCACTACATCAAACTTTTTAAACGACGCGCTACCATCTCTAAAAAAGGCTGATCTTAAAATAATTTTCTGTCCTAGGGATTCCTGATTTTTTTCTTCCATTGTGTGCGAAACAGCCAGGTAAGAAAGATATCAAACTGAGGAGGTAGATCAAGTGAATTGTGAAGACTTTAGAATCGCTAAGCTTTGGATGGTTAAGAACTGATACTTGGCCAATTGTTCATCTACAGATTAGAGAGCGATTGAAAAGGAGGATGAACGCAATTTTTCCATCTTCCGAAGCTGGAAACTCTGCAAAGAAAAACTCACGAGTTAACGCAAGTGATGCCGGGAAAATACAGGCAGTCGAAATGCAGTCTTTCGATGCATGAAAGCACTGCGCCTCGGTGAGGCTCGTCAATCCTCTTTTAGTGATTGGCAATCACTTAACTAGCATGATCTTCCCTTAGTAGTTCCTTAGTAGAGCCTGGTTAGTATCGTAGTATCAGTAAGGAAGGGGGCATTGGGATTTTTAGTTTTACGGTGTTGGTCATTTTTTTTAGATCGGTTATTCGATTATGTGCCAAAAAAACTTAGGTTTTACAGTTTTGGTGTTTATTGTGGTTGGCGTATTTCCGAATTCTTGGCACTTGGTTTTCGGTTTTCATCAAAAGTACTAATAGGTTTTTAGATTTGGTATCCGAAGTAGTTTTCGGTTTATCCCATTTGGGTTCCAGTTCCTCTTCGATCTGAGGGCAGTTTTTTGCCTCCATGGATCTCACATAGCTGTGAAACCTCTTTGTGCTCCATCTGTCAACTGTATCGGATCGATTAGGGTTTTGACACCTAGGATGTGAAAAATCGGTTTTGATGGTTTTGGATGCGATTTTCGGCTTTTAGCGAATTTTTGTTGCGGTTTTAAATGTTTTTTTTTCGGTTCTGCGGTTTAATAGACCACGATGCCCCCCCTCTCCCCCTCTCAGTAAGGTAGGGCCATTCTGGTTTTTAACGTAATGACATAAATACATAAATAAACCGTTTTTATAATGCTATTAGCTGTTGACTTTACTTGTAATTAAGAAGAGCCCCAGTCGGCATCCTGGATAGTAGTTCTGGAAGTTCTGTCCAACAGAAAACTATGAGGAATAAAGCCTCCGTTTAACTGACTTAACTCCACACTGCTCTAAAGAGCCTATGAACAAGCCAAACAAAGGATTCCTCTCAAGTTGCAGAAATAGAACCTTAGTCAACCTTGTGGATAACAACCACAGCAAGTTCCGTTTCTATGGTCGAATAACCCACCAACAGTACTATTAACAGGAAGTTCCCGAGCAAGCTATACCACACACCAGGCTCAAAGCTAATAGAGTCCTTTATTCGCCAGCAGTGACCTTAAGCAAACCACGATGGCGACGGCAGTGAAAACGAGGCAAAGCTTTTAAGGGGCAAAACATAAGCTTTTAAGGAGCAAAGCAATAGCTGTGCACGTGTTTTTTATGGTCTTTTATATTCCCTGACCGGATCAATATCAGTATCTGGGCCGAAGGCGCTATGTAACAGAGCCATTTAAATTTACGAAAAAACGGCTTATATAAAACAGTACCAGTAAACAACCCTTATGTAATAATGGTCAAATGAATGGCCTTATGTAATAAATGCTTTTAAAATGTGCGACCTCAAAGTTCGTAAAAAGCGCCCGTTAAATGTTCGTAAAATGCGACTGTTAAATGTTCGTAAAATGCGACTAAATGTTTGTAAAATGCGACTCTTAAATGTTAGTAAAATGCGACTCTTAAATGTTCGTAAAAATACGTTAAATGTTCGTAAAATGCGACTAAAATGTTCGTAAAATGCGACCGTTAAATATTTGTAAAATGCGACTCTTAAATGTTCGTAAAAATACGTAAAATATTCCTAAAATGCGACTCTTAAATGTTCGTAAAATGCGACTGTTAAATGTTCGTAAAATATTCCTAAAATGCGACTCTTAAATGTTCGTAAAATATTCCTAAAATGCGACTGTTAAATGTTCGTAAAATGTGACTGTTAAATGTTCGTAAAATGCGACTCTTAAATGTTCGTAAAAATACGTTAAATGTTCGTAAAATGCGACTGTTAAATGTTCGTAAAATGCAGCTGTGAAATGTTCGTAAATATACGCCCTTTAAATGTTTATAAAATGCGACGGTTAAAAGTTCGTAAAATGCGACTAAATGTTCGTAAAATGTGACCGTTAAATGTTCGTAAAATGCGACAGTTAAATGTTCGTAAAATACAACAGTTAAATGTTCGTAAAAATACGTTAAATGTTCGTAAAATGCGACTAAAATGTTCGTAAAATGCGACCGTTAAATATTTTTAAAATGCGACTAAATTTCGTAAAATACGCCCGTTAAATGTTCGTAATCTGCGACTTTTAAATGTGCTTAAATTGCGACTGCTACGTGTTCGTAAAATTCGCCCGTTAAGTGTTCGTAAAATTTTCAAATTGAGTGTTCGTAAAACGAGCCTGTTCAGTGTTTGTGAAATTCGATTGTGAAGTTTTCGTATAGGTTTTTTTAGAGTGCGACTACTAAGTGCTTGCAAAGTGCGGCAGTTTCGTTTTTGTAAAATGCACAACGGTAGATTGTTAGTAAAATGCACGCCTTAAGAAGCATCTGGTAGAATGCACGACAACAAAAAGGCCTTCAGATTCCCGAGTTTGAATTACTCTTAAAATGCCGAATGTAAAGGGTTCTGGATGTAAGTTGCTGAGAGAAAACAACTGAGGGATTGTCGTTGGATTTAAGATTGCAAACTTTCTTGGGTGGCAATTAAATTAAGTCAAGGGTGGCAATTAAAATATGTCAGTTAAGTGTTTTTAAAATTCACGGCATTCAGTTACTTGTAACCCTAGTATTTAAGACCTCAGGAAGAGAGTTAAGGCGGTCTAAAACATGATAATTTGAGGTCAATGAATTGATTTAGGAATCTTACACTTAGAGTGCCAGGAAATAATGAACAATGGGAAATAATTTGAAGATTGCCTATATTGTTAGGGGGTAGGGTATCAACTGGGTTTGGCCATCATCACTGAATTTCTGAGACACGAAACACTTTTTTCGGCTCGTCTTATCACGCACCCAACACCTGTTTACTTAAAGTGGATGTAATTTAATTATTAGGTCATAGAGAAAGAGATAACAAATTTCATTTTCTTTACGTTTTTAATAACTAAAGTGGATGTAATTTAATTATTAGGTCATAGAGAAAGAGATAACAAATTTCATTTTCTTTACGTTTTTAATAACTACAACAAAGAATAAATTTGAAAAAACGACTTTTCTTGGACTGTTTTCTTTTCTTGGACTGTTCTTATTCTGTTCTGAAAGTCACCTGCGAACAAAAGCAGAGTACGAGATTTCAATTCTGAATCAAATCCCCAAACTTACGGTAATAATCGTTCAGGACAAACCCCATGAAGTCGGCACCGTTCGTGCCTTGGTTTCAAGTACCCCATTGTGTTCTCATCCCTAATCGCTTCTGTACCTCGTTGAAATGGTGCTGGCCACCACGTGTTTCTTTTTGTAAATCACTTGTTTAAAGCGAATGCTATGGATGTACTACTTAAAACCTAACGACTTAGTACTATCGGAAAATCAAAGGGGTTAAACCACCATGCTGAAAAACCAGAAAAAACAAACAAACAAACAAAAAATGAACATGATCGATCTAAAAACAAAAATATCAAAACAAAACTATTGGAGCTAAAGAGAAAAAAAACCCAAAACTTCCAAATGCAACGAAACTGAAAATTTGGAATTAAGATTGATTTTTTGTATCATGCGAAAACTTCTTACCGTTCCACTATTATTGAGATCGAGATTTATACAATGCAAACACATCTTACCGTTCCACTATCATCGCTGTCATCTTGAATGCCATATGCCACTCCCTAAATGTGGCAGCATGTATTTAGAATATGCTGAACACATTTAAAAATAATATGAAAAACAATAATAACATAAAAAAATTAAATCTCTGTAAAGTGAAGTGTCTATAATTCTCTCCAGAGTCATAGACAATTATACTTACTTCAACAAAATTTGTTGCGGGTCCTGCCGGCGGCTGTTGGAATATAAGCATAATGAGAGATATGATGGTCACGTTGACGCCAATGAATTAACTAATTCAAGTAAAACTATCTAGGAGGTCCAATGTTTTCCTGATCAAAGGTGTATTTAAATGTTCGTAATTCCATCAATTTAACCATCAGTTTTTAAAAGATATAAATACATCTAGCCTCATTGCGGGTCAGCGCCTGGATTCTTTTTTGACGAACCTAGGATTTAATATTGTTCAAAGTTAACAGCCGTCCTCTCCAGCAAGCTCCAAGGAAAGACAGTCCTTTTCCCCTCAGCTTCACGTGTGAAGTAAAACTAAACTTTTCCGGTCTTTGCAAACCAGCGAGGTGAAATTATCATATTTTTTGCGGTCTGAGAACGGAACCCGTGGGCGAAATATATATATATATATATATTTTTTTTTTAATTCAACGCTGCTTGCAAATGCTTTATTGTGGCTGCTTTAGGATTGTCGACAAATGACGCCATTGTAGCGACGTCAAACTCATTATTCCATTTGAGAAATTCATTAGAAAATTATGAATTTTTTCGTCTTTAGAGAACTAAGTTACGCCAATTCTCCACCTCGACTGTTCTATGCACAACTTTATTTGGCAAGCTAGCCAAGGTATTGTTAGGCTCATAACGTATATGACAGTAGCATGTCACCTGTTCGCAGTTCCGATTTTTTGATTGGATATCATTACTCTATTAGCTCGATCATGCAGAACTTGTTTGTAAACAAGGCCACATGCTACGTTTTTATGGAATTAGGGCTGAGGTTTTGCTGAAATTAACTAAGGAGTATAAACCTGAAATTCTGTGTCCCGTGAGATCTGTATCACCTGAGAATATCCTCAATATGCTTTTACTTACGAAGGTACTTATGGCTGACGTTATATAAACTGCCATAATCATTCAGTCCAGCGTAATTTCAATACTAAAGAAGCAAAAACTCTTTAAAATGATGAAAACGCGGTTTCTTCGTACTTCTACGGAAAATCGAACGTAACGAAAGAAAATGATACTTCTCTGACAATCCAGTTGCAAACTACTTAAGAATTATTAATTTTTTGCAAATAATTCCCCAGACGAAGTCGAGGACGAAAATTGTTGAATATAATTTCTTTCTGTCAGTCTTTCACCTTAAGACCCGCACTATTTATCAAAATAAAATTTGCCCGATCCGCTTACAAGGCTCTGTTGTATTCAAGTAGTCCCCCTCTGTTGGAGACGACTGATTCACCCTCCGACGCCTGACCTCGCTGTCAAATGTTCCACCATTTCAGGTACAGGGATCTAGTTGGCATTATTATAATATTGTGACATTGATCCTGTTTATTGAAAAGGCAGTGTTTTGAAGGCATCTTGTGTACTTGAAGATGAGAGCATGGTACAGATGGGAAATATTTCAATCCTTGCCATTCGTCTAAGAGTGGCTCAAAATATATTTAATTTCTATCTTAGCACCTGCTT